TGTCTAATTATCTACCAGATAACAATTACATTATACTTGTGTTTTATAACATGAGGTGGATAGCAACAAATAACTTATTATTTGGCTTATTTAAAAAATAATCACAGATTAATATTAAATTAACTAAACGTGAGAAATAAATTATGGATCTTAAGCCTATAGTTATATTTATTTTAATATTTTTGTAATACTAAATAAGTTTTATGAAATAGTAGTATTTAAACATAGTACAGTATAAAACAACTAGTGATAAAATGTGGTATACCTGCAGTCATATAGCAGCCACTGAGCAAAGAGCCGGCCAACGCTGTAACCGCTTTACTTGATTGAAAATGTGCGACAAAATCATTGAAGAAAAGTCCAAATGTATAACAAATGCCATCAACGGTAAGATTGCAGAAAAATGAGGCCATCACTATAACCCATCCGTACCCGCCATCAGGTGCCGGATCACTGATGCTCTTCTCACTCCATTGCTTGCCTTCATTTGTCAGCATCTCTTCGGGAATAGCGTTTAAACTGACATATCTTTGAGAGTTGTGTGATATCTGTAATGCAATTAGAGCTGTATTTTGGTTGGATTTAAACCAAATGTTTTCAGTTTATTCCTTAAACAGATTTTTAAAAAACTTCTTTATAATTAGTTTTTAAAATATATGTTTGATCATAAAATAAAAAGGAAACAATAACTAATATATACCTCTAATAAGGAAGTATTTTATGATATTGTGATTAAGATTTGCAAAAATAATTAAATCTGATAATAATATTTGTATAATTGCTAAATAAATATAAATATTTAGTCTAAAAAATCAATGATTAGATATTACTATTCTTTAATTTATTAATAATTTATGAGCTCATTATTATAAACATAATTCTGTTATTATTATATGTAGTTTTAATTATAAGTAATTCAATTAAATACTAATGTGTTAAACCATAATCTGCTTTCAATTCTAAAAGCTAACAAATTACTGATTTAATTGCAAAATAAGGGCTAAATTATTAATGAAATGTTGGTATAATAGTCTCAGTTGTCGATCATTTTGACCCAAAAAATAATGTTTAATTTTGAAGTTTTTATGAACTTTCAATGCATTCATAAATACCTTTCTATTCCTATGAAGAATTGGTTGTTGTATTAAATTTTTAATTTCACACAATTTTACATCATCTGAGTCTATGTTATCCACTGGAAGGCTATGACGTCTTTCCATAGTTTTAATTGTAGTTTTATTTAATGTTTTTAATTTAAAAAATGAATGTCAAAAATAATTGCTTAATTTGTATTGCAAATGCAATTCAAATGCAGTTTAAAATCAAATGGTAAATTACATTCAAATTTGAAGTAACACCAAAAACAACAAATTACTTTATGTTTCTTTACTGTTGTTTTCAAAAATAATTTTCAAATATTGAATTCAATAAAATATTGTTTCCGATTGTGGAAAGACATTAACAAATAATACAATATATAACATAATTAACGTTTAAGTGGTTTTCATATTATATTTAGAGATAAATATAACTGTATATCAATTGAATGAATAGAATAGACGAGTCTTTGATGTGAACAACAAAAAAAGGTTTTTATTTCTTATCAAATATTTATTCACTTATTCTTAATAAACATTATTAAGAAAATATACACACAATACAAAACAATTTATACGGGTTTGTATTTTGTGGTTAATAATGGTTTCATTGATTATCACATGTAATTTGGTATATTATAATGTATATCCAATTTCATATAACTGTATGTAATGTTCACTCTTTAAAAAATCTCTTTCCAAAGATAGACACACTTTGAATAACTCGTTGTAATCTTACATATGATATAAGAGAAAAGGAAACTTTAAATTAAATTGTTTTGGAGTGTGATTTCGTTGCTTTCGTATATCAACTCAATTCATGTATGTTTTATCAAATGAGTGATAATAACAGAATTATTAAACTACCACTTTATGGCATAGTTTATATGTTTTAGAACATATAATTAAATTCACTAAAACAAGTTTAATTTGATTGTAAGAAATAATTATTACTTATATAGAAAATCCACTCAAGTTTTACGTCATTATACTATTGATACAAAACATGAAAAAATCGGATAAAATGAGTTACCATTTGAGTAGTTATTCCTTTAAATTAGATATAATTTCTGTTGTTTATAAAGTAAATACTAAAATCTAAATAACACTTTGTAATTGACTTTAACAAACAATTGATAATGTTCTAAGGTAAAATAAATCAAGTATATTATTGTAGTTTACGACAAATCTAGTTTACCTTTTTTATATTACATACACTGAACTATTGAGTGAGAATAATGACTCCATTTACTGCACTAAACACTATTAACAAACTTTTAATTATTTTTTCCGTGACTTTCAATTAAATTCTTTGTTTCTAATGTTATAAAGAAAACAACAAAATGTTTGACTAATTTATAGCAATATAAATGACAAAATAAAAATTAATTTCCAACAAATTCTTTGTCCGCTATTTTGTTTGTTTTGTTAGTTTTTCTAATTCTTGGCATTTATTTTCACTTTTCTAGAATCGTTTGTGGATTTCAATTAAATTTTATTTGAAAATAATTTTTTCAATGTTTATCATGAACTTCAATTGAGTACTTTAATTGGTGTTTATCAAAATGTTAACTATCGATATCTAATTAATTGAAGGCTATGTTTGAAATATGATTGATTATGTTGTAAATTATGTGTACAATTAACGCTTGTTTTCTACATTTTTTACATGTATCGTTTACTTCAAATATTTAATTACAAACTATACTTTTGATAGTCTCAAGATTACACTGATCTTATGTATAATTAATAACATAAGATCATGTATGTTAAAGTGCATGTTTAACACTGTTATAATAAACAGTGTGTTAACAGTTAACTGACAGTTTTAAGATATAATATATAAAAATTATAAATTAGTTTTTTAAAGAATTTTTTAATTGTTTAATGTTTTAAACACAATTAATTTCACTTTAATAAAAAATAAATACAAATTGTAATTTATACCGGTGATTAAATAATTAAGAAAATAATATACCTTTATATACTTTAATGTCATCAAATAATTGTCGATAATGCAATGTTCATATTATCAATATTTTATAAATACAGTATTATTTACAATAAACCAAAATTAATGATATATTATTTATTTATAAGTTAATCCAAAATATTTATGAAATTTAGTTGAGTTATATAAAAATCTATTAATAGAGTCGATCATAAATCAATCAAAATTGTTTTCAAAAAATTCTTATTTATAATTTAACTATAAATAACTAAAAACAATTAAATTATTTTAAGTTAATGAGTAGGTTATATGATTTATTAAATTTTTAAATGTTGTATTATTAAATTTAATTTTATAAGTGCTAACAAATATTTTTTTTCAATACAGTATTAATGCTAAAAAAATGTTATATTATTAATATTTATCGATCAATAAATCCAATAAAATAAAGTGCAATAAGAAATTTAAGATTAAATTTAAAATTTTGTTTAAAATGGCTTAAAAACAATTCATAATTTTTCTTAAAACAAAATCATTTGTTGCGAAATAACATATTTGGTTATAAATTATAATTTATAATATTTAAAGTAAATAAATTCGTAAAATGTCTTAAATTTACAAAAATGTTTGATTCAGTGAAAATGGATTCAATTTTTACAAAATCTCTTGGTTTTAAAATAAAAATTCTTTTTGTTTAAAACACTTATTTATTGTTTGAAAATTTAAAGACATTTTACAATATTTTGCGATTTTGGCCAATAATATAAATAATATACATTTATTGATTCAATTTTCTCCTTTCGTTCCGATTATAGTCAATGAATACAATGGGAATCCTATTGAGAGGGAATTTAAAATAATATTTTTATGGATTTAATTTTTAATTAACCAAAAATTCAATTATTATCATATTTTACACAAACAATTTATTTTGAAAATTGAAAAGGATTTTCCAACCAATATTTGCATTATATGTACAATACGTACATTGCGTTCAACACAGTAATAGCTGAGTGCGAGTATCTTTTAGTTTACACTATGGTTGAAATTTTTAGAATTTTGAGTTTAAAGAATATATTTAAACCAAAATTACATTAATCTGAGTCTTAAATACATAATCTTTTGCTGTTTTTACATTGTTTACATGACGGCATTTATAAATAGCATAATAATATTATAATAATGGCTTTAACGGCCTACGCTTATTTAACGGATTTGTAATAACCAAGATATTGTAGTGTATTATTACCGGTAATTGTTTTAGTTATATTTATAACAAATATAATAATTATACTGTATTTACAATGATTGTAATATTGTTAAATATTGGCATTATACCTAACAACGACTTGCCCTTATTTGTGGCATGTAAATAGTAATCTAATTGTATCTTTTAATTGATTTGTGAATGAAAATTATATCATGTGTTAAAAGATGTCAAAGCGAATCCACAAATTAAATTCACTATAATTCTGTTGTCAAGTCATTTGCATTATATTTATCTAATTTCTAACAATTACTCAAAAAAATCTCTTTTTGTAAAAACATTAAGATTTCATTGAAGCAAAGAATTCGTAGAGAATTAAATTAGAATTAGGTTTTTATTCAAATAAAATGTAAATATCAAACTATTTTAAGAATTTGTTGCTAAGAATACAGAATAAATGGCAAGATTTTAAAACAAATCACTCACATATAATATCAGGATTGCCTACCGTTGCAACTTTACATTATATAAAAACATGTTGATAATTTATTTGATGCTTTAAATTAAACATTTTATTTTTAAATCATAATTAATTCAAATAAATATTTTTATTTACGTTGATTTGTATCATCAAACTATTTAGAATTGAATAAAGCGAATTAACCAAAAATGTTTATTTTATTATTTATACATTTATTTATTTTCCAGTTTTGTTTTAAGTAAATACAAGATTTAAAATCACAAATTTATTTGTATTTGTGTTAAACAATCTGAAAATATTTATCATTTTATATAAATTATAATCAATTATTAATAAACAAATTAAAGCTTTTAAATCTATAAATACCTGAACAAAAAATACATAAATATTGTATATTTATAAATAATAATAATGATAATAATAGACGACAATATAGAGAGAAAATACAACAATAATGTTTATATTAATGAATGAAATACAAAGAGCTTTTCACATAAACAAATAGATGAAAAGTTTCAATCAATAAAATCTTTAAATTTATAACACTGTATATAACACTATCCATTATATAATGATATAAAGATTTAATAATTGATTTAAAGTTTTACGATTTATGCATTTTTAATAGAATTATCATTTTTTATTTTAAATAATATTTTACAAAAAACAATAACATTTAATTTGAATGAAAGTTTAATTTTATTTCTAACATTAATAAATAAGTAATCGAAAATAATAGTCATTCAAATATTATATATAAATAGAAACTTAATACAAAATAAGATAAAAATGAAGCTAAGAATACAATAAACTCATAAAATTACTATATATTTTCAACCAAAAAACCATGTTTTGTTCATAAATGAATGCCTGGATTAATGATGATTAGAATTGTTAGAATCTGATGCCCTCTTCATTGAATGGAGACTTCTTGAAACGGATGCCCTCCTCATTGAACGGAGACTTTTTGCTCTTATTATTGTTGACTGAAGTGACGGCAGAATTACTTGATTTGTCTGATTCTCGATTCACATATTCATCGTTATTGTTGTAATCGGTATCTGATTTCTTAAATCTAATGCCCTCCTCATTGAATGGACTCTTTTTATAGCGAATGCCTTCGTTTTCAAAGGCCTTCTTGAATCGGATCCCTTCCTCACTGAATGGGCTTTTCTTGAATCGAATGCCCTCTTCATTGAACGGCGATTTCTTAAATCTGATGCCCTCCTCATTGAATGGACTCTTCTTGAATCGGATCCCTTCCTCACTGAACGGACTTTTCTTAAATCTGATGCCCTCTTCATTGAACGGAGACTTCTTGAAACGAATGCCTTCTTCATTAAATGGAGATTTCTTATATCGTATTCCTATTGTTTATTACAAACAATTAATTTTTTGCAAAACCATAATAAACTAAATTGATGAATACACGTATAATAGACTACGATATTATCAATAGATTATTATTGATATATATTACCAATCATTATTTCTCTATATTGTAAATATTACATAAAATAGTTATTTAAAGACTTAATACAAAACACTCAATGAAATAAAAATAGATAAGAAAGAAAACTTATGTACTGTATATATAAAAGTAATCTAAAAATGAAACAAAATACGGTAAATGAGATGATAGTAATGCATACCCTCGTCATCGAAAGCAAATCTCTTATATCTGATGCCCTCATCATTGAAGACAGACTTCTTGAATCGGATGCCTTCCTTCTCGAATGGATTCTTCTTAAAGCGAATGCCTTCAGCGCTGAAGGGATTCCTTTTGAACCAATTCTTGGCGAATGGATTCCATTTGAACCAACCGTCTGTATCCCAGGCGCCGCTCCGCAAGAATCTGATGCCTTCGTTATTAAACGGAGACTTCTTGTAACGAATGCCTTCGTTTTCAAAGGCCTTCTTGAATCGGATCCCTTCCTCATTGAATGGGCTTTTCTTAAATCTGATGCCCTCTTCATTGAACGGCGATCTCTTTGTCTCATCTATTAAATCGCCTTTACTCTC